TTTGACGCTGCTTGGCGCCTGAGTGGTAATCCGTTTGGCAACCTTCAACCGATGGTCTTTCCTGGGCACACTCAGGCTCCGATCCCCACCTCCACCTGTGGTATTCTCCCTGGGGTCAAGGTCCCGTGTACACTGGTCCCTGTGCTCGGCATTCCCACTCACTTTGCTGTCCTCAACATCTGGCGGGCACCACAGGGCGATCATGAGCTCCTTGTTCGTAGAGTCCCTGGTGGTCCCAAAAGTGGCGGCGCAAGGCTGGCTCCCTTCTTCACTACCAATGTCTCCGCCCTTGATGCCTCGCCTCTGGCGGCTTTGAAGCGTTTAGCAGGTGAGGATATCTCCAGGTGGTTATTTGATGACAACACCTTCTTCGCATCCCAGGGTAAGATTTTCTCTACTCAGATTCATGGCCCCGAATACGGGAGTGCCCGAGAGGGCACTGTCGAGTTTTCGAGGCGCTACATCTTTGATGTGGTCCTTCCCAAGCACAGGCATGTCTATGAGCTTGGGTGCGATGTAAGCGAGTTAATCTGGCTGAATTTCCAGGAGCTCGAGAGGGAGCTGTTTGCTAACAGCTTTAGTCCGGAGAATGGCTTGGTGATTCTTGACTTTTTGTTGAGGTACCATATTCTTCATAATCGGATTGAGTGGGGGTTTCTGGATGAAATTGTCGCGAGGATGAGATATGATTCTTCTGCTACTCAGTACTAGCTGTGTCATGGCCATCTCATCATCACCTAAAATCTCAAAAAAAAATAAAAAAGAAAAAATTAAAATAAAAAAGCACTTACCCTTCATAGGTACTAATTGGGCTGGCTTTCAGGATAATTAACCGTTTGCGTAAGATTTCATCTAATACGAAAAGGCCAAAAACAGGTACCAGGTAGGCATACTTAGCGTGCTTTGAATTTAATACACTTTTTATCATTTTACACTTCAAGACTTCAAGACTAACACAATGTATATTTTTGTGACCTGAAAAAGCTATGTCCTTTTACCTAGTTCATTCATCTCATCCATCATCTCATCCATCATCTCATCCATCATCTCATCCACTATTTCATCCGACCATTTCTCCCCCGCAAGGCCTTCCTTGCTCCCCCCACAATCCCTTAGTTGACAGCTCAAGCACCAATGCAAACAAAGTAATCCAACCAAATCTCACAACTCGGTCCAACCTCGGTGTTCCAGGCCTGAATCTGCGCTTCCGTAATCCCATATCTCTGCGACAACTCCCAGCAGTTGTCACCCGATCGTACATAATGCCAGGCAAAGCAGTTGCATACTGCCCCGGGCTGAACAGGTGAAGGACGAGAAGGTGATGGTGTGCAGCTTGTGACAGGCAGTGCGGTGGTAGACAAGGGTGGTTGAGTTGAGATGACGGTGGTGGCAGGGTCACAAGGAGCGGTAAGGAAGGAAGTCACGGTTTGAGTGACGGTGACTGTGCCGTTTGCCTGTCGTGGGATGTTCCAGGCGGAGGTGCCGACTGCGAAGGCAGTGGCTGCGGTGAGAAGCTTGATGAAGTGCATGGTGGGTGAGTGTTGGATGGGAGAATGTCGCTGGTGGATGATGAGGAGGGAATGTCAAAGACTTTGGGGATGATGAGCCTCCGTTTTATACCTGTTCTTTACTTCACGATTATGTAGCCAGCCCCGTCTCCTAGTGTGCGTTCTTTTCACATGCATCTAGCCTCAGGAATCACCAGCCTCATGTCTCCAAACAGTGCATAATCTTACTCATCAACGTGGATTACGTTGGACAGACTATTGACAATGGGACTATCGCTTCCAACTTGGCACGTCATCATATCGACAGATTCGTTTATGCCAATGTCAACATATGCGTAAGAGTTGCATGGAAGTTGGGGTCAATGTGTACTGCTGAATACACCGTTCCTGCATGAAGCCCCCAGCTTGCCCTGCCATCTGTCAGCATGTGTGGGGACATCAGTCATCTAATAGTTCGTCAGCTTCAGCTTGTTGGAATGGAGCCCCATATCCAGATCAAGAAGTTGAGATGAGGTGGAGCGGAAAAACCAGGATATCTGTCGGGTGGTGTCGGCCGTCCATTCACGTGTGGGTGTAGAGCCGCATGTAAAGTAAGTCTGTATTGTTCCAAAAACACTTCCTTGTTCGCCGGCAGGTGTTCTTTTGTAGAAACAAATACTGTTCATCATTACTCACAGAGTACGGAGACCACGCTCCTGTTTCCCTCCAGCACACTACCTAGTTAAACACCTCCATCATAAAATGATATTCGATCTTACTCCCATCCGTCCTGCCCCTCGCACTCAACAAGCGACACCTATCAGCCAAGATCTCCCCAACAATCGGTGTCCCACAAAAGAAAACCCCGACCTTGAACTCCTCGTCCTCCCACTTTTCCTTGTCTTTCCTTACGAGTTCAGCCTTGTACCCCTTCATCTCCTCATAATGCCTATCCAGAATCCTGATAAAATCTGGTCTGCCGAAGTGTGTTGCGTTCAGCAGTCCGGTCAACGGGCTGGCTGGGTGCTCAGGAGTACGATGCATCTCCAGCAACCAGCGGTATACATGCGTGGCGATGTTGTTCCTTTTCTGAGTGACGTGGGTGTGAATTCTAATGTCGAGATGGGGGCCGTGCTCCTCCTTATGGTGCTGAGCGTGCCATTGCTGGGAGCGAGAAACCCGGTTTAGGAGATCGGATAGCCAGAGGAGGTTGTTCTTGTCTCTGACACTCCAATGAAAGTCAACGCGGCGATAGTCTGATGGGTGGTTGTCCGTCTCGTTGCCTCCCTTGGTGAGCGTCTCCCGGTGGTTGGCGTCTTCTATAGGGGCTCCAGTAGAGACCTTCTCCCTGTCCCTGACAGACGAATCCTGCAAGCCATCCTCCCCAGGGCCGATGAGGTGGGAGCCATGGGATGTTGATCTTCCACCTGCAGTGATTGGAGCATCCAGACCCGGGCCATTGTGAGCTTTGTCGTCTTTCTCTTGCAAGTCCGTAAGGATACCGCTGAAGGGGGTGACACCAATACCGGCACCAACAACAATGGTGTGGCTGAAGTCGTAAAAGCGCTGTGCTGGTGCCCCAAATGGGCCGTTGATGCCAATCTGAATCTGTGCTATGCCATCTTTTCCAGCCAGGTCACGGAGTCTGCGTGTCCAGTTCCCGTCGGTTTTGATATGAAGCTGCATTTCATTACCGATACATGTGGATACTGTGAAAGGATGCCACTGAAAGAAGCTCAGGGCCGGGACCTGCAAGAAGACATACTGTCCAGCATTGTATTTCCAAATTCTTTCACTTGGAATCTTGGCTCTGATCGCGACGGTTTCGCTGTCTAGAACCTGAAGAGCAGCGCTGATTTTGTGAAAACCAACCAGTAGCCGCACAATTCTTTCTGTAAGAACCAAGAGCGTGGGGAAGGCAAGCCAGTACCCAAACATGGGCCACTGAAGTAGCCCTGCGGTGCCGTGGGCCATCAATAACCCAATAATGGGATACATCAGAAGATGGCCCATTTGGAAGACTTCATAGTTCCACTTTCTGACTGGAGGAGTACTCAGCAGTGAAAGAAGATAAAACAAGCCCAAAGCAGTAAGACCAGTGAACCCAGGCAAGGACTTAACGTAGTTAATATACGGCCGTGGCACAGCATCTGGTCCCAGCAAGATAGCCACGGCATCTTCGTTTTCCTTCCTGCTGCCCCAAACAAAAGAGCCTCCCAGGTGTCCAATTGCATGAAGACTTGCGAGCACAAGAGCCACACACGAAATCCTGATGTGGAACTCCTGGGACAAATCCCAGTTGATGAACCTTGAGATGTAGTACGACCGTCGAAGAAATGTCGAGAAATACCGCGACATGCTGAGAATCAGAAAGAAGAAGGTCGGATAAAGAGCACCAGCGCAAGTCTTGGCCAGCACCACGCCCCAACCAAAACCGCGTGTGTAGTACTCTCCAGTGAGGTACTTGACAAACTGCCAAACCCCAAAAGCAAGCTGCATAGCCACTACCAGCCCAATAAAGGCGATTTCTGGCCCGTGAACAGCCCAGTAAGACTTCATCCGTCTCCAGATGCCCATCTTGCGCATGTAGTCCTTTTGCTCGCTGTCATTCGCCTGGTCCTGTTTCATGCTGGGAATCTTCCAGCTCTTGACCGTTTCGGCGAACTCGGCGCGCGGGATCCGGTTTTTGTCTGACTTGATAATGGCGCGGAGGAATGCATGACGGTCCAAGTCCTCTCGACCGTCATGGTGAAGATGGTGTGGAAGTGCCTTGGGAGCAATCTCCTCATGGACCTTATCCAGCTTCTGCTCGACTTCGCTGTAGTCAATTAACCCGTCATTGTTGTGGTCGAGGTCGTCGAGAAAAAAGTTGATCTCGTCATCCGTCAAGTACTTGACGTCATCCCATGGTGCGACGTTGGAAGCCATCAAGGCTTGTTGATTTGTGTATGGTTCGTGGTGGAATTGGCTCGAGGAAGAGGATGAGAAGCTGAGAGGAATGAGAAAGAAAAGAAGCCATGTTCGCCATGATAATAATCAAGTAACGAATGAGCGTGTCAGTCGTGGCAGTGAGACGCGCCGAGACGGCATACGTACGCCAAGTCCCACTGCCAGCTCGCCAAGCTGGTGGGTGATGATATTCAGGAGGATCCAAGAAAGGCCCAGCAACTTGGCTGGCGAGAGACCAATCAGATTCGCATCTTATCGTAGGTCACCGAGCCAAAAGATAAGGAGCTTCGCAGAGCTGAGAAATCTGAGGGCGGTCCAGACTTGATTATGCTCGGCATTGCACTCTGGCACAGTAGCTCACCGCAGTTGCAGTGCTCACATGGGTGCTTGAATTCCAGCCTCAAAGTGTTGTCAACCATGGCACGCGCTATCGAAGGCACGTGACTACGCGACTCTTGCACTTACCCAGCCCCACTTGAGTGTCCAAGCTCATTTCACCAAAGCAACGCCCTAGCCTTAAACCACATCAGCCATTCATCAACATCAACAAGACCTACAAAATCGATGGAGGCAGAGCTTGTGAAGTTACGAAAGGAAGTTGATGATGCTAAGCGTCGGGCAGAGGTGGCTGAGCGCCGGGCAGAGGAGGCCCAACGCGAGGTCCGCAACACCACACTTGTCGAGTACCTAGAATATTGTCACCAGCATCTCTTTACCACGTTCGAAGTACAGCGGGATCCCAGGCTTACTACAGCCGGCCCTGCTTCGGCCCCGCATGGCAAGCTTTGCCCGACCTATCTCCGACACTGGGACGACTTTGACACGCTACAACGCCGCACCCTCGACAGCTTATTCACCCTCTACCCGGCCGTTCAAGAAGCCTTCCCGAGTCTGCACGCCACCCGAACACAGGGCCAGGAGATGTCGCGGGGTAAGATCGGAGATCACTTGACGCTCGACCACTTTGTGGGCAAGTTCGTTGAGACGCCCGTACGATCCATCTGCGCCCGGCTGATGAAGCACCTTGGCTTTTGCAGACGAGATGCTCATCAGCGTATCTGGGTGATCGGCCCGAAGCTTGGTCTTGCAAGTCGCGCCATCTCACACAGCAAGGGAGATTACAGTAAGCAGTTCAGCAACACTAGAAACAACACATTTAAGCCATCCATTGTAGAGCCACACAGTCCTCTTTACTCCTCTGAGTCACTCAGGGGGAGCACAGGGGAAAATAGCTCGGATTGTCTGTCTTGGCTCAAGGCAGAATCGGCTCCCCAGATTTATTTTGCTGAGAAACCTGGGGCGTAGGAATAGAATCCTGAGGTGCCGTTTCTGGCTAAACAGAAAGCAAAGATGCTGGATATGATCCTTGTGATGCTGCATCTACCTTTGCCAGGTTGCAATGTAGCCTTGCAAAGCCAAGCTCTGGGTTTCCGTGCAAGGAGCTCAGGCGCCGAAAGTGACTGTGTGTAGTAGGTAGCAGCCAGTTTTGGAGGCAGATGCCGTCCACCTGTAGTTCAAGATCGTGCTCGAGAGCTCAACCAATAGTGGTGTGAGCATTTGAAAGCGTGGGTTCTTGCTGTGTATTCAAATTGAAAGCCATCAATGGCTTTAGTAGAGGCAGCGATTTCCTATGCCCCAACGTAGGAGCTGTTTCTGGCCCCAGTTAAAGACAGACCGTCGCTGCCTACACAGGCACAATGAAAAGGCCGTTTTTGGCTTTCCGTATGACTGACGATAAGGTACTGGATCATATTGGGAACAATACAAATCCTCGGTGATCCCAGATGCACCCAGATGCAGGAACGGAGAAGACTTGCCTGAGTCGGCACAGCATTTCAAGTGTGTTTGCACCAGCCCTTTGTAAGACTGCCTTATTCTGGTTCTGTTGAACAGCAATGGAAATCGTACCACACAAAGCTGTCCAGCTTAACCGAGACATTCCAGAGTTCGACTCATTCCAATATGGTCACATCCCACCATGCCAGAGCAGAGACGTCCAAAATGGAATTTTCACAAGATATTTACTTTCGACTTCTATATACCACGACCAGCCCAGATCAAAACGAAGGAGGAGAAGGTAAATACAAATGTCCAATCTCCCTAGCGGGCGTTTGTACAATGACCGTTGGTCCAAGTTCAGTACCAAGAGGAGAAAGAAAGAAAAAAGACAGATATGTATAAGAGACTCTGCCGGGAGAAGAAAACCGAAATGTCATTTTTCCAAAACCTCAACTTTTGACCCAGACCCAGGAATATCACTTTTCCAAAACCTCAACTTTTAAGCCACTCCCAAGAATACATCCTTCCATGTCAACACCGAGTTGAAGATACCACTCCCAAATTTCCGCCATGTTTATCCTTGGCAGGTTCGCCATCAAAAGGCTTTCTTGTCGGAGGCAGGCTTTTAATCACGGGAACGCTTCTTGTCGTGAGAAGGTGTGCCATCATGGAGTTTGTGGTGGTGAGGGGGCCCTTCGTGGTGAGTGAGCCCGCCATGGTGAGGGAGCCCGCCATGGTGAGGGAGCCCGCCGTGGTGAGGGAGCCCGCCGTGGTGAGGGAGCCCGCCGTGGTGAGGGAGCCCGCCGTGGTGAGGGAGCCCGCCGTGGTGAGAGGGCTGCCCGTGGTGAGAGGGCTGGTCGTGGTGAGGCTTATCATTGGGCGACCCTCCATCATGTGGCTTCCCGTCGTGGGGCTGACCGTCATGAGCAGGCTTATCGCTGTGCGACGGCTTGTCGTCGTGTGGCTTTCCATTGTGGGAAGGCTCATCATGATGTGGACGCTCGCATACACCGTCTTGATTCTCAGGATTCCCAACATCCGCCGAAACGATCAAGTAAACCCTAGAGCGCCGGCCGCACGCAGGGTAGTGGATGCCGTCCGTGTCGTACTCTTGAAGGCCTCCGAGCACATCCTTGGTGTACGTGAAAGAATCCGATTTGCAGGTCGTGATGGGGAGGCAGGAGAGGTTGATGTTGACTTTTTCAATGACGTACTTCAGGCCAGGTGTAATCTTGAGCTTGACGTCCAGCTTCTTCAGGGCGTTGATGGTAGCAGCCCAGCTGCCAATCCTCTCGTAGTACTTGCCCTTTTCTTGGATGTAGAGATGGCCGTGTATGCCCCTTCTGAGGTCGTGAATACTGGGCGTCTCATACCAACCCCAGCTGCTCTTGCAATCTGTGCCCTTCTGTGTGTTGAGATCATGGGAGTTTCGAGGGCTCTGATAGCCGTAAGCAGGTGTCGTATCGCATGTTGCATGGCAAGGGGCAACTAGGCACTTGCTGCAACGGTAGGTGATCTCGAAATAGTCGTAGTCACAGTCGTAGGAGGTGCATATGCCGTGTTTGTTACGACCGCCGGGCTTGCAGGGGAACTGTTGTTGGAAATGAATCGGTTCGTGTGAATCAGGTACAATAACGCTTCCGGCGAATTGGAGATAGAGGGTGAGGCCCGCTTCGTCGCCGTTGGGGCACATGCCCTCAAGAAGGTGTTTGATCTCGGCATGGCTGGAAGCATTAATAATCTCGTTGAAAGGAACCTTGCACAGGAAAGTGCCATCCTGCCCTGGTGTACACTGAACAGCTCTTGTGGGTGGTGGTGGTTTGTATCCAGCTGGGTAGAGAGGGTTGCCCTTGAGTCCCCAGGTGACCTGGGCAGATGTGGTGGTGTGGCCGGGAAATGGGTTGAAGGTGAAGGTCAGATATGGTCCAGCAAAATCAAGACAGACTGTCGATTTCCCCTTGGGATTGTCGTAATTGCCAAGGAAAATCTCAGGACATCTCTCAGAGTAGTAGTCCTCAAGTGGTAGCTGAAGAGTGTTCTTGTCAGGGAATGAAACTCCGGCTAGATTGCAGTCTGCCTGGCAGATGTCGTACTCGGTCCGCTGGAGAAGGTTGATCTCCCTGGAAACAAGAGTCTCAAAGGTTGGCTCAGAGGCCAAGGCAAGCCGGAAGGTTGCGGCAACAAGCGCCAAACCCGAGGTGAGCTTCATGGTAAGGCTGGCGAAGGAAGTTGAGCCCGGTCACCGGTGAAGATGCGGGAAAAACACAAGACTATCGGGGAGTTCGGCGAGGCGCTCATTATAACTTTTGTGGCAGTGTGCCCCCTCGATAGCGTCTCCTTTTCAGTTCCTTGTGACAATGTAACTAAAGTTGTCATGGTTTTCGCCGTCTTGATGTGACCCATGTTTCCTCTCGCAATGATGTCAGTTTAACGACCATCAGAATGGGAGAGCGAGGGAGGCGTGCGGTCGGCGATGCGCCACCAAAGTCACTTCCGTGTCAGCTCCGCGGAAGACCCATTAAAAGACCCTTGGTATCGATGTGCAAAGCGAAACAACGGGTTCCGGATGTTCGACGGGAACTGGAGAAGTCCGAAGGTGCCGGCGAGTGCGATCCAGGTCATGGTCGGCAATCGCGGTGAACTCGGACGGAGTTAACACTTTATATGGCCCAATCCCAGTTTTTTGAGGATTCCCAATTCTTCAAGGCTTGATGAAATAGTACAGATGTCTGCTGAAACATGTGGTTCTCGACAGTTAGCGTCGGAGTACCGCCAGCAACTTCAATTGGGTTTTAACGGTCCACAGTGCAACCAACAGTTCAAATGCATCTGCAAGATATTTCCCCCTCCCCATAAAATTGACTTCATTACTTCCAGAGTCCAAACCTGTCGACGGGCAACGACGGGGGCGGTTCGATGACATAACAACATGAACGCAGAGTAAGCGATTCAAGATGAGGTATGCACGCAACATATCTACCTCAAAAGCAGAGTTGACTGATTCATTGAGAAAATTTCAGGAATCTAATGCGAAATTCCCGATCCCCTTCTCGGTATCCGGATTATTTGTGACGCCAAAAACTCCATGCAATGCCTGACAGTCCTCCTCTGCTTGTTGGTTCCGACGATCAACTGTTCTGAAGAGGACAGTTGTGATGACTTGGACCACCTTAGTTGAGTGAAAAAGGCCCTATCATAATTCCCTCCTCTGATTCGGCAAACAAGTGCCACACAATGGCCCTGCCCATTATCAAAGACCCTCAACCAGACGCTTGTGACACCTTCTCATCATCCCCCTTGCGTTCCTTGCCCTGCTCCTTCTTCCCATTCTCCTCCTCATCGTTTCGGCATTCCTTCGTTTTCTCAATATCCTCCAGATCCCCCTTCTGATTCTTATTCTCTTCATCTCCAATCGTCGAACTGGCGGACAATTCGCCCCCAAAATTGAACCTCGGGCGGGATTGCTGGCGCCTCGTGATTATGATCTGGTGATGCCGGCTTCGAGCGGCACCAGGGATATCCACCCCGCTCAACGTACGCGTGACTTCGCGGTACTTGGTGATTGCAAGACAGCTTGTGCAGTCGCTGGTGCTCGTCGTCAAGTTGCGACAGTGATCGCAACAGTTTTCTCCATTGACCTTTTGAATTCGTCCATGAAGAGGATGCGCAGGCAATACATTCTGCTGCCACCGCTGGCAACGGCAACAGATCGCCCACCAATCCACGAAACGATCCTCCAGCAAATTCTCGCCCTCAATGGTCTCCAGCTGCTGTCCGTCTCTGTTGCGCAGAATCGTGGAGGGGTTCGTCTTGTAGCCGCACCCATGTTTGCAGGTGTGCGGATCACCGTGCCAAAAGTCCCTGGCCAAAACACACTTGTCAGCAAGGTAACTCCATCCGGGTAATGTGAGTTGCCGATGGAAGCTTCATAAGCCTCTGGTAGACATGGCGAGAGAAATGTTCCAAGGTAGAGCGTGGGCTTTTGGTCGCGGCAGCGAGAAGGTTGCGAGCGACTCACCACTCTTCTTTGCCGCTGACTGCGCACTGATGCGCCCAGTAAGCCGGCACGACTTTCTCGTCGATCGGTGGAGCGGGCGGCAAGTACGGCTGATGGCGTAGGTATGACAGGTAGGCCGGCACGGTGGCGCTGTTGTCGGTGGTCATCGTGTTGGATCGTCGCTGCTTGATGGTTGTTGTTGAGAAAAGATTTGCGTGAAGAGGATCGCGCAAAGTGAATAACACCAGGCTACCTTACTCTGGCGGAAAAAACAGTAACGCTCCCAGAAAGCGGCAGGAGCAAGTGGCAGAATTCAATTCAATGATGTCGTCGTCCACCAATTGCAGGCGGGTCCAAAGGCCATTGGGATCTCAAAGCCCACAAGCTTGGATGAAAAAGTCCCAAGCTCTATGCCAGTAAGGGCAGGTTGTAATCCCAGATCCAATCCAGCTTAATGGAGTTTGAGCCCTCCTTCAGTCCGCTCCGGGCATCGCTTGTCAACCAATTCGTCTTGCAGATCGATCACGCACACGACCAGACACATGCGGATGATGTCCAGAGCGAAGAATTTTGAAGGGGAACGCAGCCAACTCCCCAGTAGTGATAATGTAGGTAACTTGACCATTGTTTGGGTGGCCTCGATTGACTGGACCAAAATGCTGAGAAAATTGCCATGACAGCAACTAAGTGCATGGCAATGCTCGCCTACCTCCTTCTCAACGATGCTCGAAAGCTCTCCGTACCAAGGAAGAAACCAGACCTTGCCACCTTGTCGAATGAATCTCGTGCTCAAGCGCTGCTCAAGAGACTCGGTTGTGATCGTTCCCAGAAAGCCAAGATGTCCTCAAGTTCTTTCCCTCGATTGTTGTCGGCTTAGTTGAAAGCCGAGTGCTCAAGAGGATGTCATAGAGCGGCAAAGTCCAGTGCCCGACAGCCTGATAGAGTTGCAAGACTCCCGTAACATGATGAAGATGGCAGTCTACTGGAAAGCAACGTCGGTGGTTTGATGGAAAATAGGTGTGTGACCCCTTCATTGATCGCCAAAATGTGACCACCTCCGCGGAGCCCAATACGATAGGGCTGCATGCCCCTTGGCCAAAAAATGCCTACCAACAATGTCAGCGATCGATGTTGCAGGAAGCGACATAACAAAGGCTCTTCCTCAGCAAAATGATGAATAAGAATGTTGATAATGTTACTGATGCGATGGATAAGATGGATATCTGACACAGATGAATGTTAGACATGTTGAAAGCACAAGAAGGGTATGTCGAAGGAATGATGTACCTAGTCGAAATACAATCGAGATAAGAATATCTGTGACGTCTCAATATCAGCAGCCCGAACAAAAGCAGGAGTTGAGAGTGAACCAAAGGAATTGGCACATACCGATTAAAATGCCGATATAAATGCAGTGGTAAGTTTCCCGCAAGATCTGTGAAGAGTCGCCTGGGGGCGCAGCCTCCCGCAGAATCTGATGGAATAAGACGTGGTTGTGGAATGGCGGGAGGTCTGCGCCCCAGGCAATGGAATGAGGAGACGACGGATTGATCTCTCGATGAGATCAGTGCCCGTGCCGGGCCGAATGACCCCAAGGAAGACGGAGGAGAAGAAGGAGAAGAAAAAGGAAGAGGGAGAAGCAGAAAGTTGAACGAGAGACAGTAGGCTCAAAGATTCACCGAACCAAAGCACGGCGCCTGCCATAGGAGGAACCCTCCGGCAGCTAAATCGAGACCTGTCTTCGCCCCTATCCACCGGCCTACAACCAATGACTATAGGTAAATAGGCGGAAAGGAAAGAACGGGTACACCTCCCCATGCAAGGCTGGTGAGCCGTCCCATCCACAGGATGGCCACAAAACGCCATTCCATCCTTGGTAAACAGGTCTAGCGTCATAAAAGCTGGAAGGCACACATCCCTCAATGACAGAACAATCCCTGGGAGACACATATTCAGGAAGTAATTACTGGAACAGTGAGTTCGTTCGATCGATCAAGCTCCTTTTGGTTCTATCACCTTGCTTTAGGGCAAGAGAGACGAGGGAATTACGGAAGGGTCTCCACAAGACACGGGGACCGGGGACAGGAGATATTTCAACGGCAGTAGCGGAAGGAAACAAAGAGCTCAGGCAGCTGAGCTCAGCTCCTTTCTTTCCTTTGATCTACTGATGGCAAGCGGCCGGGACGGAATCCAAGGACCCCCTTGTCGTGGAATGGTATCACGGTCAGTTTTCCATGAAAGGGCAGGAAGCTGGCAAACGCCGAACTTAATCGAGGCAGTGGGAACTGCTGGAACTAGGTTGATACCTGGATCCCGCCGTCCAACAGGCAGCCCTGGGCACACTTTCATGGCTGCCGATTTGGGCTTTCTTTGCCCCCTGGCTCGCTCACCTCACTAGGTTGGCAGCCATGAAATCATCAATAGGATCAGTTCCATCAAGACATTTCAAAGATGCTCCTTTCATGTGCACACAATGATTTCCAACCGAGGAAAACATCCACGAGTAATTCATTTTGTTCCCACACTGTGCCCCCGTACTTCAGAGTTATTGCCCAACAACGCCACCACAAGTTGACCCAGCATGTGGCTCCGGTCCAGGTTCCGCAGCGCCTTTCCATTGGCCCAAGCAAGTCTCCATTCCCAGGCAAGAACACCGCTCGTTCACCAGTACCCCTGTGGTCTGGAGAAACATAGGAAGGACCTCCTCATCCTCGCCTCTGGCTCTGGCCGTAACTGCCATAGAATAATGGGACACATCCAGGAGAGCAATCCTGAACTCCTCTCCATGTCGTATCAAGCTGAGGCACAGCGACCTCAATCTCTCTTTGATGTCGTGTCATGCCAAGGCAGAACCACCCTAACATCCCTTGATGTCGTATCACCCCGAGGCAGAACCACCTCAACCTCTCCATGTCATCCCATGCTAAGGAAGAGCCACCTCAACCTCTCTCCGCATCGTCTCATCCCGAGGCGGAGCTTCCTCACCACTTCGGGCCAGGAGACCATTGGCTTGGACCAAGCGGTCCGCACCTGTGCCATACCGTTCCTGCCCTTTCCATCTCAGGTTCTTGCACGCCCGGCCTACCATCCACAGGCAGAGCAACCCGAACAGCTCTCCATGTCGTCTCGTGCTGAGGCAGAGCCCCCTGGAGATCCCCCAATATCGTATCAGGCGGAGGGAGACGTACCTACCTCAACATTTCTTGATGTCGTCTCGTGCTGAGGTAAAGCCACCTCGGCGCTGCTGCCTTGGGCTGACCTGTTCCACACAGTTCCCGCCCGGCCGATCTCGTGGTTTTCTAAAGTCTGCCCCAATCACGGGAGAAGGTTGCGAGGCTGCTTCATTCACCAACGGCAGCCGTTTTGTGTGTTGATTCTATTGTTTCGACTGAAGAGCGGAGGGACATGTGCATCCCAAAGATACCAATCTAGATTTGCTTGAGCCAGCGGCTGCCAGTCATCTACTCCTCCGTCTTCGGGCTTTCTCACAGACAAAAGTGTAAATACATGGCATTGATCATCAAGTATCCTATGAAGCCTTGAAGTTAATCCCTTGACCCGCAACACATGTCGGTATACTGAAAACTGAAATGTCACAAGAATTGCTTTGTACACGGGATTTTGGAACGAGGAACTGAAATCTGGAAATCCTACCGGTATCACGAAGCAACATTCGAAGCGGAACCATGTTTTCAAAGAGAACTGCATCAAGTAACCTACACTGTTCAACCCCTTTGAAGGGTACCTAAAAACGATACAGGATAAAATACATGGTAATGATGTTGAAACATCTGAAGAGCGCCTGGAATGGGTCTCCCCGAGGGGCCATCCCCGCCTTTCACCCTCCCATAAGACACCCCTTCAAAGATGTTAAGAAAAGTGAAGAAAAAATAACAGTAAGAAAGGAATAAAAGAATAATGCATAAAAAGAATGAACCCAAGAAAATAGATAATACATGAAAGAATAGAACCAAAAAGAAAGAAAAGACATGAACAATACAAACGCGCAGGGCACGATGTCGTCCCAGTGCATCATCCTACACCACCGACAACAACACTCCAACAACAACAGCAGCAACAACAACAAGACCATCATCACCACCAAGGCACGACACCATGCGTCCCAGTCATCATTACCCCCCACAACTCCAGCACCCCTACCATGGGAAAAACGCGCAAGAATAAGGGACGCATCTGCTTCACCAGCACATTTGCGATGGCCTCGAAAGACGAGTACGCCACAAAAAAATATCATCAGGGTAGCACTGTACCCCAATACCGGGTCGCCAAGGTGGGACCGATAGTATCCCAGTACGGCTAGATGGTGTTGCTACCAGGAGCTCTCAATCGCTGTCTCGTGCTAGTGGCTGGTCGAAGAGGATGGAAGTACTCTGGGTGAGCCGGTTGCTGGCGATCTGGTCTTGATCAAATGCTGGATTTGAGCTCCGGTGGGTTGGTCTCCCGATTGTGGGTTGTGCTTGGATCCAAACTGGATAGAGGAGCTGGTGTCAATCAATTGCGTTAGCATTGCTGACGTTGCTACAGTGAGCATTTGGGAAATGTTCCAACGAAAGGACTAGAACCCCGAGGAGTAGAACAAGCACCTCATCGTACGCAGAGGTGACAGGACAAATACACACCTTGGGGCCCCTGTTGTCCATCTGCACCGTGTTTGGCCTAAAGATCTGATGCGTGGGTAGACGGCCGGTAGTTGAGTTTACACGTTGAATAAAGGGCCCGGGTTATAAACATGGCGGCGGCAGAAAGACATCAGAGCTGTGACTAGAAATCTGGCGTGGACTTTTAGGAGGGGTTAATAGTGGACAGGAAATAGAGCTGGAGAAGGGAAAGCAACAAAAAGGGCCTGCGTTTGGTCTTTTGATCCAGCGGCTCTAGGCACGTTGGGAAGGCTCCCACCAGTCTCCAAGCCGGAGCATGGCGAGGAGTATCCTCCGTGTACCCGCAGGTCCCGAATGCCACCCCTTGTCTATCCACTTCCACCCACCTATCAGAGCCAGAAAACCTACTGTCCTTGCCCTGAGGAGATAGGTGGTCTGTCATCCTGCGGGCCCGTAGGAAGCCTTGGAAGGCCAGGCAGACAAGAACAAGAAATTGGTGCCATTGCCCAGTGTCTACTTTACATGCGTTGCTTCCCTTTTCCTTCAAAGCTCTGCACTGTTCCCTGGCAAGCCCCCATCCCGATGCGGTCTCCCTTTCAGGTCCTCCCCCTCCCTTGTGATAAATTCTTTCTGGGCAGTCAAGAAAGAGTACCCCTACCTATCCAAATTGCTCAGGTCATTTTTGAACCCAGTAACGAGCATATAGCCAAACTCGGCCGCCTCCACACTCCTCTCAGCCATCTCCTTCTTCCCCAACCCATTGTACGCCTCCGCCAACCTCCTCAAGGCAACCACCACATGAATCGTCATCAACGAATGCCACTCCTCCGAAAAGAACATCTGCCTCGGGTCCCACACCTTGTCCTGGCTCTCCGCCCCCTGCGGCATCTCAAACCCAAAGTTCCTCAGCACCTTCACCGCATATCTAATCGTCTTGGAGTAGTTCTTCTTCCCCCTATACGCCCCAACCAACCAATTGCTCCCGTAAATCAACGTCAGTCTCGGCAATCGCCCGTAAATCTCTGGCTCGTGCGCCTCCTCCAACTGCTTCATCAGCTTATCCACCGATCGAATCGTCGCGTCGGGAATAATCGTCTTTGCCCTCGGCGTCTTCTTGTTCAAGATCTTCTCCACCTGCGCGAGCAAATCCTTCCTCTTCTCTCGACTAGCCTCCGACGATTGCTTGAGCTCGGCGACGCACAGGGTGCACGAGCACTCGAAACCCCATCCGTCTTTGTACACCCCGTTGCGGACATCAGGGAGGGATTTGACGGGGACATACTGCTGGAAGATTTCCTCGCCTGCCTTGATGTGTCGAGTCGCACGGGAGATCAGCATGTCGCCGAGGAACGATCGGAGGGTGTTGGGGACGCAGGCGTGGTTGAGGTTGCTGGCGTGGACCCAGAGACCTTTCGCTTGGCGACCTTCTTGGGCGGTTGGCCTGGTGTCTTCGAGTGTTGACAGGGGCACGGAGAAGCAGTTCTTGTTGCGGAGGCCTTCGATGACGAAGACGTCTAGGACTGGAACACCATCTACGAGGGTGCCTTCGAGCGGGTTTCGCTCGTAGGTCATCTCGCCGGGGTAGAGCTGGAGTACTGACTTGCACAGTGATGGGTTGTCTAGCAGTTGACGGACGGTCAAAGCATACAGCGCAGCCGACGCCCTCATCGGCTCGTACTGGTTGGGCATCAGGGTGGCCTTTTCTGCAAAGACAAGATCCCCGGGTGCGAGATCCTTGGTGGCGAACAATCCTCTTCCGTGGAGCGGGCTTGCCTTTACCTCTGTGTTGCGGGTGAAAGACCCCAAGTCCAGGTGAACGTTCTTTGGGCTGAGGGACTTGTAGATGGCTTCAAAGTCGTAGTCGCCAGTCTCCTCCTCGTGCAGCCTGGCGAGACACCGCTCGTACTCCTTCTTGATGGCTGGGTTGGTTGGGTTGAGCTCGAGAGCCTTGGAAAGATATTCCTTCGATTCCGAGTAGTTGCAAAGCCCATAGCATGCTCTCCCAGCAGTGTAGTATGCTTTCCAGTCCGTGGTGGTACCCGTTCGAGAGGCGAGAGCATCCTCCTTCGCGGAATCATAGCGGCCGAGAATTAGACTTGTCCCGGCGCGCTTGGTGTAGATTGATGGCTTGAATCCTTCATCCTCGGCACAATCCAGAGCTTCGGTGTAGCTGTTCCTCTCGTCAGCTTTCCCTTCTGCTTCTTCTCGATCCCAGAAAAACACCTACCAGAACACCGCCGTTGGGAAGTCCTTCTCCAAAAACGCCGTATCGCCCGCCTTCTTCCAGTCCTCCGCCGTCTTGAGCAATGGTCCCAATCTCAATGGCTCAGGAATGATGGGGTCGGTGAACCTAATCAGCGTCACATCTGATGGGTGGTCGACACAGATCATGTAATCCTCGCTCCCATCCGCATTCTTCCCGTTGATGGTGTAGTAAGGCTCCTTCACACCAATGATGCACCCTTCTGGTACACCAGAAAGGATAGACGAGTCATTCTGGTTGTAGATGGAGATCTTGTCCACATTACCGAACTCATCCTCGACTATGCTCACTGCTCCCGCCCCAAGGAATGGTGGGCTGATGACTTTGAGAATGAGGCCTGAACCCCGGTGGTGTGAGTTGACCTCGAGTTGTGATAGAGGGATCTATGGCAAGTGTCAGAGTCTTGAATGAAACGAAAAGGAGTGAGCAGTACAATATCAACTTCGCGAATCGACTTTGTCGAAGCAGGATAGGCAAGCGCCAAGTTGGGCTGCTTGACGGGTCTCGGCGCGTTCTCGGGCGAGTTGGCCTGTTTCTGGACGTGGACGGCGTGCGTCTTGAGGAGATCCTCTTTCGTTGGCTTGACTCTCGGTGCTCTCGTGGTGGTGTCTGGTTTGGTGATCACGCCGTCGAGCCCAGGGCTGGCGGTGGCGGGTGGTGAGGGAAGTACAACTGCCATTTTGTCGCTGGTCTTTTTCTTTCTCGGCTGTGAGGGGTATCACTCAAAACAGTCACAACACAAAGATAATAAGGTCAAGGCCGAAGAAGATGGACAATGTTGTGATCTTGGAGTTTTCTTTCGTCAGATGGACACAGGTTCAACTGTATTATCTATGATTTTTGTTTTTGGCATGAGATGGACAGTTGAAAGAAATAGGTGGCATTCTCGGAGCAACGACAGCCGTGATTGCCGCTATGGGAATGACACTCGGTTGCCAAGAAGGTCTTGGGGGATTGTAGCCGCCTTTCCGAACGTGATATAAGGTCATGCGTTGAGTGGGTGCGTTGTTAGCGGACAATGCGGAGGAATGTGCGGGGTATGCGGAGAATCAGGGGCCGGGGTGTCCTGCGGCGGGCGTGGGTAGACGAAGATTGGAGAAGACGGGGCCGCCAAGGAGTTGCCTGTTTGGGAAATTTTGGTGTAAGTGCCTGTGAACTACATCGACAGTGCGAGTTTGGGCAAATGACACGACACCGAGGGGAGGATGGAACACAGTTAAAAGTCTTCCATTTGGGTGGCCAGCTGATTTGGTGATCTCAAACACCTGTGTTATGATCTGACTGCAATTTGGCCCCCCAAAAAAGTCCCGATATCGTCGCTTATCCTCCTCTGCTCCGTACACCGTCTCTCTCGCCCCGGAATTCAGCACTTGTCAGCGTTGAGGATGACGTTGAAATTCCCAGGGTAGAACGCCTGACCCGCGCTCTGCCAGGCGCCATCATCTGAGTCAACACACTTCCCCTTGTTGCCCCAGAAGCTCCCAAAGGCCCCGTTCATGTATTCGGCCCCCGCGGAGATGTTGATCCATCTCACGGTCTTTGAAAAGTCGTTCTAGAACATGATGCATACTGTGGTCAGTAACTGGCAGGATAAGGTATACAAGAGCAGACCTGTAAAAGGTACAGGCTCACATCATTGCACCACCAGATGGCGGAGTCGTAACTGCAGCTGACTCTGCCACAGTTGCCAGGTCCAGGGCCGTTGGTAGGCATAGGGTAAATGGGAAGTTGCCAGAGGTAGTCGATTCCTCTCGCAATGGCTGACCATGAGCAACCCTTCCATTTGCCCCAGCAGTTGAAACTCTCGGGGATGATGTTGCGGTCGGAGTCATCATAGACAAAGTGACGCTGACTGGGCAGCTTGAACAAAGACTGGTTCCAACCGGGGTATAAAGCTTCCATGTGGGCAACGGCATGCTCAATGGTACCGATGATGGGCACAGTCTCGCTGGTGGCGTTGCCGGGGTAGATGGGCAGGTCGAACTGGATGTCGACGACTCCGTAGCCGGGGATAGGGGCCTGCGAGGCCTGGGCAGTCTGGGCCAGGACGGCCAGGGCAGCAGCGATGGTCAGAATTGTCTTGGAAAGCATGGTGACGATGTTGATCGGAATAAGAAAGCGCGTCTGGTTGTTGTATCGCCGCCGGTCGGTGTTGACGATTGTGTGGGCGGTTGTGTTGGTTGTTTAAGGCAAACTGGGGAATTGGAGTTGATGTGCACTGGAGACCTCTTTTATACCTGGTAGAAAGGTAGTTGCCGTTCGGTGGTTTTTTCCGTCGAGAAACCTACCCTGAGACCTGGCTTTGTCAACATCTCCACCTCTCTTCTTCAAAAGGCCAGGGGTGCACTCTTCAATGCCGCTTCTTGTATGCTCCTTCCTAAACACAATCCCGTCAATTCAGGGACATTCATTCGTCGAAAGCTTTTACCGGTGACCGAGATTAACTTCAGACGAAGAGCTGCCTGTCGTACGATGTGGGTAATGGCTGAGTGCTCCTTCCTGCCTTTGCCGCTCCCCACCTGTTTTGGTCTTCGATTCTGGCAACAGTCGGCCAGGATGTAGGTGCTGAGGCCGCCGATCTGGCTGCTCTTGCCCGCTCCTTCTTTGATAGAGCGGCTGTTACGTTGGGCTCCCGAGTTCATCTTAAGATAAAGAGCTCTCGGTTCTTTAGAAAGACCCAGAAGGCAACTGCGCAAAAAGGGTGGTGGAGGCCTAAGGTGGACGCCAATCGGCCAGCTTCGCATCCTGAAGCCGAACCTGCCTGTTGGGGTTTCGTCTTCCGCTGTTACCAGCCAGACAAACAGAGGCAGGAGTCTGTCCTCAGGCAGGTGGTCTTGAATCAGGAACCAAGTGTTGCTTCTTTGACCAAATGTCGGCCAATAGACGCGAGCCTGGCAGCGACTCCCACCCCGGACTTTGCCAACTTGCGAGGGTTGATTTGAGAATATTTGGATAAAATACGGTCCACTCGGTCCCTCATCGCGTCCGGGACACTCCAGTAATGTGAAGTCGCGCGCACCATGGCTGACGATTAAATCGTCGATCTTTTTGATTTTTTCATAGGGTAACTCAGATAACGCTTGGTGATCAATCCTGGAGAAGTGTAGTTTTCTCACAAGGTGAAGCGCGCTTTCCCCCCGAATCCAGGCATACCACGCCAGAAGAGGTCCCCGATTTGGCGTTCCAATCGTACCATCCACGTCTCCAGTTCCCTTAGGGTCTGCCCCTGATTTCAAGAGCAGTTTGAGCCCGTCGAATTCCAGATTTGAGGCTGCTATTTGTATTGGTTCCACTGTGTATCCTGGTGCCATCGACTTTGCTCCGAGTTGCAGAAGAAACTGCAACACGTTGCATGCATCGCAAGGTTCATTCTGTTGATTTTGTGGTGCGTAAACAGGATTATGGTCATGTCTGCCAATGTATAACACCACGATAACGGATGGGTCAAAACTCCCGAGGCACCTTTCAAGGCAATTCCTTAGCCCGATGTGCGCTACCGGTCGAAGTGAGGGATATGGGCATAGTACTGCAAGATGGAGCCCTTAAAGCGGAACGGTATTACTCGTGGTACGTTGAACTCGTCAAAGATCCAGTCCTCGAACCATGACCGGTGGAATATGTCAGCAATGAAGCTGATCTCTATTTCACAGGTTAACAAATCATCGACTGTATCAAGGTCGAGTGTGATGACTTCCGTTTCTGTATATTTAAACACGGGGTGCGCTTGGATCCTGTGGATCCACTTTTTGGCTTGGGGACTTAATGGGTGGGATTGCCAAAAGGTATTCCAGAATTGCTCAAAGGTTGCAATGTTGTAAAGGTTATAGATATGGCTTAATTCTGCCAGAAGTGAGATAGCCTTCATGACTGGCGCAAAACGGTCTTCTGATGGATCAAACAGCCTCATTGCGAGCTCAAAAGATTCTGGGCACATGAGAGGCCGGTGTAGAAAGCGCATATGAAGAGCGAACTCGATGATACAGAACCAGTCAAAGCTGCTGTAGACCTCTGCCAAGATCTCATGCTGCTTCTTGTGGTGCCACTCCTGCATTTGATATCCAGCTAGGTCACCCTCTCGTAGCCGCAATATCTTGGAAAACACTATCCGTGAGAGTTCGCCGCGAATGTGATGCCTTTTAAGAGCATACCAGCAGGTGGGTGTTCCGAGCCGTTTTGAAATTTTGGGAGAGTCCAAAAAACTCAAACACGATGTAATGTGCGAACGAGTCTGTCAGCAGTCTGACCGGTGGTCTTTTTCCTGGAGAAGATTCCACAAACTTTGTGCCTCTCCTCCATGGATATCGTAATAAGGCATCCGCAGAACTTACGAATAAGTTCTTCATCAACAGCATAAGCAAGACTGTCATTGAGCCCATTTAGTCCCAGAGACTCCTGTATGACACAAAGCAGTACTGAGCACGGAATATTGCTTTGCTCTTGAGTTCCTGTAAACGTATGCTGCAGTTGATGCCTGCGGATCCACATGAAGGTGTAGCGAACAGTATCTTGGGCCTCTTCAGGGATCTGGCGGAAGATGCGCTCATATGTTTCATCGAGAGTACGGGGTAAATTCGCCAGCGCTGTGGTGACAACGTTGATATCAGGCTTCAAGCGTTGCAAAGCATCAATTTGACATACGACCCATCGGAACCTAGGGGACGGAAAGGTCAGTAAATATGCCCCCGACCAGAGCATAGACGCATCTTCATACATTCCCTTCGCCTTGCTACACAAAACAGTGTGAACCTTTGACTGAATTGAGGACGGTTATTGCTGAAGTTTTGGGTGTTGCGCAAGTTGAGACTGAACGTATATTCGGACATCTTCCTCCACTAAACCGGTCGACATATATAGGGAGGTTGATAATGATGACATCACAGTCTCAATGTCGATGTATTCGCGACTTGTTACCAGAAGCTGTATGTTGTCGAGTCTTTGATCCGTCGACAGGTCGCGCACAACCTTCAAGAGGTTACCCCGAGGCATGCTTTCGTCCACTGCATCTAGCAGCACGTACACCCTATCAAAACTCTGGACAGTTTTCTTCCAAAGCCTGCAACAAATCATGAGGAGGTGGGCGTTGTACCTTCTTACACAGTGTAATGACTGATTGAGGCAAGCTGTCAAGCTGCCGGCAAAGCTTGGTTAAAATCCAGATCAGAAAGGGGTATCGCCTCGTCCTGTTCGTGGCCGAAATAGCAATAATAATACGTGCATGCGTATTGTGGGTCTCGTTGATCCGGGCTCTCAGTAAGACCTCTGACTGTTTTGATCAAGCGGGACGCAAAGATTGTTTTGCCAGCTCTAGGATTCCGTGGATCCCAAGGCAAGGTGAATCACCCTCCATCCACGCTTTCCACTCGGAAGATCTGAAGACCCACTCGCCGGTGCCAGGTTCATACAGTTTCACAAGCTTGTCGTGGATCGATGAAGGGTCTGTGGACCAGGATAAGAAGTGGCGGTATATCTCCCTGACCTGGAGGTCTTGCGCGAGATGACAAATCTGTATCTGCAAAACACCAACGCCTGGTCAACCTACCGGTCAGATTTGCAGAAATATCATCAACCTTCTTTCTAATGACTTTCACATCTTGTCTGGGTGTGCTGTCAGTAAACACTCGAAATGGACGCATAGCAACCGTACATACGCCGTATCCGTTGTTAGAGCTAGCAATATTGTGCCCTTGTGCTGTTTAATTTCACCAAGCAACTTGGTCGCCTTCCCCTCCTTGAAGGGCCACGTTAAAGACGACAGGACAGTCTTGGCCTTCGAAGACTTTGCACCGGTTGCTGTTGTACCAGAGCTTTGGTAGGGAGGTAGAAGCCGCTCCAAATCCATCATCGCCTTCTGGCAGCTCTCAATGGGCCCATCTGACGCTGCCAGTGTTTCAAGGGCACTAAATTCATCGCTGACATCGATGAGAAACTTCAGGATTTCCAACACAGAACGAAGAGTTGATATTTTGACATACGCTTTGCACGCTCGTATGACTTTGTTGGCGATCTGGATGATGGCGATGATGCTCGCAGCACCGCTAACTGGATCCATTTTACCTCATTCAGAAAAGGCTTGGGTGGAAAAGAGTCGGATAGACAGCCAAAAGGAACCCCGATGCTGATCTTGGTCCGGTTGACTTAACGGGAACTCGTGGAGGACGGACGGTTGCCTTCCAGTCTTGAGCAAGGCCTGCGCAAGAGGCGCGCCACGTATCATAGGCCTCCTGCATCGGACAAAAGTACTGGGGAACAATGTTGGTAATGCTCTGCAAGGTAGGTAGACAATGTTATACTGTGACCCGGCCCCGTTCATCCACATCATGCAGCACTACCTCTACGCTTGACAGGCCGCCTCATGATAACAGACCGCATCACACCCTCGGGTACTGGCCCGGCAAGTGCTACAGCGTTGTTCTCCCCCCAGTACCGACCCTCTTCTTTGGTGACGCCCCATGTTTCCTTGACCTTCATGTCCAACACGTCCACATCCTCGAACCCAAACTTCCGGTAAACGGCATATCCAACAGGAGAAGACTCGAGCCTGGTGGGAAGCCTAAGGCTGTCGGCAAGATCGGTTCCCCACTTCACAAGAGCCGATCCGGCGCCCAGTCGCTGTCGGTCCGGGCTGCAAGCAAGGATACCGAGGACTGCGGGGTAAGTATTCAGCAACTCAACTTCAAAGACACGGTTCGACAGGATTGAGTGAAGCCTTACACAAAGCTGCTTCGCCCTTCGCGTGGTCCCTCTGCTTCCTGTTCAACTCTCCAATAAAAGCATTGATCACGGAAAGATCAGCGCCCTCGCCAAAGTTCTCGACAGTGGGCACATAGTCCTCCGACTTCCACTGTTCTTCCGTCCGAGGGTTTCGGTGAAGAACCCACTTGGAGAAAGCAACCACTTCACCAGGCCCATCAGGGCCCTCGGGAAAGTATTCAGCAACGTTCAGGATAGTCTCTCCATTCTTCGCTAGCTCTTCATCAGATTGGGGTCTGGGAAAAACCCGCTCCCCGAACCTTTTCCGCGAGGCTTCTGTGGCACCACCCGGATACATGAGCTGGTTCATAACATCATCGTCAAAGGCTTCGTAGTGGATTCGGACAATGGCATCAGTATCGGCCAGTTCGGCTTTGCGGACTCGGATGAAGGGTTTGGTGGAAGCCATCTTGGTGAATCGTGCGCGTTGCAGTGTTGGTGGATGTGGGCAGAGATGCTCGTTCCACGACCGAAGTCGAGGGCCCAAGGCTATAAAGCTATCCCCGACTGAGGGTCGCTGCGGCACCATTGCTCGAGTGCGAGCATTCTGCGGCTCCCAAAGCGACAACCTTCTCCACTCGTACTCGGCGTGAGTCACGGCTAAAACTCGGAGTGGAGTGTGTAAGAGCTCCGGCCAGCTGGATCAGGTTGACCGGGTCGCGATCACACGCTCCTGGTTCTCCGGCCGATCTCGACGACATCCGTTCGGTGTGTATATTCAGGTGCCGGATACGTAAGCATCGCGGCTTTCGGATCGATCAATACCAGCTAAGCCAATCGCGGCAAAAGGCTCAGTAGACACATGTAAAATTGAACAGCCTGATCTGACCACATGTGCTCAGACAGGAAGGTGGGCTTCCGATTGCCGGTTCGGATTTGGTTGTCCTGTCGTTTGGGTCGCCGTGGCCACCACAAAGCTGTCCATGTAGCGATGATTCGAAGAATCAGGAGAGGTGCTGAAGTACCAGTTATTGGATATTTCCATGTTGTAAGTAATTCTCCAGGTCCGGCTGGTGATGGTCTGGCCCTCACGTCGTGGGCAGGAAACAGAGACTGCAACGGTACAATAAGGTCTTTAAAAGCAACAGAATCGCCTTTGCTCATCATCAAAGCCCACTTGAAACATGCTCAAGGACTATTTAAATAGCTTTGAAGGCCTGTTCATGGTCTCGAACAGCAGCAGTCTACATTCGTTGTCCACAATGCCGCTCTGAAGGTTGACCGAGACAAGACGCGCCTAGCCCATGTCGGGAGGACGGGAACAAGCGCGACCAGGGGCAAGAGGGAGGGTCCGGCAACGGATGGGATCCAATCAACACCCGCGTTTTATCAGCAGATGCCCCACTAGAGCTTCTGGAAAGCTCGGGCTCGCAACCTTGATGGCTACCGCAGACAGGCTAGACTTTGGATTCCATCGTACGACTGCACCTCGCTTGTCATCTCCTCCAAAATGGCGAGCCCAAGAGTAACTCTGTTTCTCTCTATTCCGTTCATGATTATTGGCTTTCTGCTGAGCCGCTCACCGTCCATGATGACCTCTGTTTCCCCCTCCAAACCTTGGGCTGATGGGCCCATGAAGCTCATCACTACGCCCCAGTTCCAGACCAAGAAGACTGATATCTTCACATCGGGAGCCACCCATATGGCTTTGCTCCATAACTCCATCCTCCGCGGCTACAATTCCATCTACCATCAGGCTCCGCTGCTGCTCGACCAGGACAAGGCCGACTTCATTGGCTATGCCCTCGCTTGGTATCGCTTCGTGAAGTCACACCACGATGATGAAGAGGCATCTCTCTTCACCAAGGTGGAGGAGCTGCTGCAGGACAAGACGGTGTTTGAGGAGACTCATCATGAGCACGGTATGCTCCTGTAGTCAACTGTCGCTCTTCTCCCACTCAACTAACCAATCTGTCCTTCTACAGAATCTTTCCTTGCCGGCCTAGCTGAGTTTGAGAAGTACCTCTCCGGCCTCCAATCTCCCACCGACTTCTCCGCCGACGAGCTTTTGCAAATCATGAGCACGTTCCAAGAGCCTTTCGAGAAACATTTCCACAGCGAGATATCCACCATTGCCAAGTTCTCCGAGCACCCCAATGCGCCGAAGGAGGGCACCCCCGAGAACACTGCCGCGGCGGCTACATTCAAGGCATGGGGCAAGAGCACTGTTACCAAGGCCGGCATGACGGATGTCGTGCCCTTCTTCCTCCTCAACTTGGACCGTACGGTCGAGGATGGGATGTGGGCCCACTGGCCTCCCATGCCGGCACCGATCAAATGGGGCTTGATCAACATCGCGGGGGCTTTCCACTCGGGGTGGTGGAAGTTTGCGTCTTGTGATGCGAATGGTCAACCGCAAGAGCTGTGGGCTTATCGTGCTGCGGCCATCAAGGCACAAAAGGAGGAGCAGGCCAAGGCTTAGGAGGTGTATCTCGGTAAGTACATGACATATGTAATGAGCCATGACCGTCGTTTTTGGTTGGAGTTTTTGTTATTCTGTACCGGTCACGATGTCATGTTTGGATCAGAGCCTTATGGGCATCAATTACAGAACAGTTCATCGTTTATACCAGACATCAGACCCATCAAGCCAGTGTTTTCCGCAAAGTCAGTGGCAGGAGGAGGGTGGGGCGTGCGGGTAGTAGGGCGAGGACGGCGAATAGCACATCCTGGGGTTTTAGGGGTGTGATAGGGTTAGGGTTATAGACTTAGTGCTAATTATTCTGTGCTGTACATCTTTTCTATTGCTCCGTTGCATTTGGATAAGGCCTTGAAAGATAGTCGAGGGCATTTGCACTAGGTATCTGATCTTTCAAGGCCTTTATTGAACGCTGCCGTCTCCGTCATTCTGTTCAAGACATGCAAGTGTACGCGGCGGCAAGGCCAGCTGACAAATCTCACCTCCCGAGCCAACAACGACAGCTCGTCTGACTTTCGAACCTCTCTTCCCAACCGTTCAAACGTTTTGGCTAGATTTTCACAAAAGCAACAAAATGACAACCCGAACGAGATCCTCCGAGGGGTGTTGGACCTGCCGACTCCGCCGCAAAAAGTGCGACGAAACCAGGCCGGTGTGCGAGGGCTGCAGCACGCTGGGGATCGACTGCTTGTACAGCGAGGAAAAGCCACAGTGGATGGACGGCGGGGATTGGCAAAAGGCAAGAGGGGAGTGGGTGAAGCAGGAGATCAAGAGGGTTGCTGCCCAGAGGAGGGAGAAGAGGTACATGAAGGATTTGGAGGCCGGTGTTGGGGGGATAGGGTTGGATATGGGAAGGGTTGAGGTTGGCGTCATCACGACGGGGACACTGCAGGTACTATCTGGTGTTAGTGTTGGTGGCGGTGATGGTGGCCACACTGTTGGGGGGGTGACAATACTACCAGATGGCGAGAAGGGTAGCGGGATGGGCGTTGAAACTGACAATATCCCAACCGGCGCCACATCAACCGACACCACCGCCATTGCGACACCTTGCTCCTCCTCTAGTCCCTCGCCTTCAAATATCCCGTCCCGTCATCAAAAAACTGACAGCGCTGACCCAGATGGAGAAGACCACACCGGCATCCCCGCCTCCGAGCGCGACGCCCACAGAACAATGTTCTACCTCGACTACGTCTTCCCCTTCCTCTTCCCTTTCTACCGCCCTACCCTCCTCGACTTTGGTCGCGGCTGGTTGCTCGTCCTGCTACAGCGCAACCAAGCCCTCTTCCATGTCGCGCAGACAATGGCGGGGTACTTTTACGGTATCATCCTCTCCAGCGAAGACAACAAAGACGACGTCCCCGAGCTGTGCAAGAGCCATAATTTTGACGCCATCCAACGGGAGCAGGAGTTGGGGCTGCAGTGGTTAAGAAGGGCGATTCAGGGGGTCGTCGACAAAGGTGTGGACGGGCATCTCAAGGAGGCGAGCGAGGTGGTGGCCTGTATTGTTCAGCTACTGACGAGCGAGGTCGCGGTGGGGAATGGATGGAATTGGAGGGTGCATCTTGATGCGGCGGCGCAGTTGTGGGGTGAGGTGTGGAGGTTTCATGGGATGGGAAGGGTTGGTGTGGGAGGGGAGGAGGGAGAGAGGGAGGTGGTGTGTTTTATGATGTTGCTTTTACAGCTGGGCACGAATCCAAAGAGCTTTACTCCGATGGGGCAGCCTTGGGGCACGGGGCAGGCTACGTTGCGGTTTTTTAGCGCGCAGTTGTTGTTTTTGGATGTGGTGGGGAGTACGGCTTTGGGTGAGGGGCCGAGATTGCAGAGGTGGCATGGGCATTTGTTGGATACTATCGGGAGGGAGGAGTTGGAACGGATTGTGGGGGTGAAGGTGAAGGAGAAGGAGATGGACTTGCCGCATTTGAAGTTGGTGGAGTTTATTGGGTTGGAGAATTGGGTTGTGGTGGCTATTGGGCAGGTTGCTGCGCTGGATGGGTATAAGAAGGAGAGGAAGAGGATGGGGGCGTTGTCGGTGACGGAGTTGGTCGAACGGGCGAGGGTGATTCAGAGGAGGATTCGGGATGGGTTGGCGGGATTGGGAGAGCCGGAGGTTAAACATGCTTGTCCATCCGGCGGGCCTGTGCCGAAAGACCATCCACTGTTGCATTTCACGGCACAGGGCATGATTTCACCTCAGTCTATGCACAGTACTGCTGTACATACGAGAATCTGGGCTCAGGCAACGTTGACATATCTCCAAGTGGTCATTTCTGGGTGGCAGCCAGCAAGTCAGGAGATACACCACTCGGTCACAGAGACTCTTAATCTGATGCTTTATTGCGTTCCAGCACCAGCCTGTCTCAGAGTATTGGTTTGGCCATTCACTGTTACCGGATGTCTGGCTGCTCCAGAACAGGAGCAAATATTCCGGGATATGGTCGCCGCCATGGGGTGCTTGAGGAATTTTGGCACCATCAAAGAGGGACTGGCCATCATAGAGCACGTATGGGCAAACCGGGCCCAGATCGAGCAAAATGCAGACCAGTGGGATATCGCTGCATGTTTGAGTTGTCTGGGTCAGCCTTCGCTCCTGATCTGACACTTTTGTTTGATGAACAAGCTTGAACAAAAGAACAATTGGGTATTATATCTATCCTACCAATGTACCAACCAGTACTTCGCCCCTACTTTTACAGTCAAACTCTTTGTGCCCGGTAACCAACCCATCACATATGGCCAGCTATATATATACACCCATCCGACATGTTTACACAACATTCCCCGGATCAAACTCACCCCTCGACCGCCCAATCACACTCGCCAACGGCCCCCACCATCCACTCTCCTCCTTTTTCTTCCTCCCCTTCACTTCCTGGCCAAGCACCAACGGCGACGGCAGCAAACTCTCATGAACCACACTATCACTACTCGGCACACCCTCCAAAGGAGCCATGCCCTGCACGACACTCCTCCCCGTCTTCTTCTTCTCTCTCAGCTTACTCTCCCTCGGATCAACTTTTGTACTAGGGTTATAAGTAGTCTTGGGCAACAACAAGGGCGCCTGATCCTCCCTCTCCCCTTCCTTTCCCAACAATCCACCGCCCCCAAAAGCAGGTGAAAACGACGACGACTCCGACAGAGAGGACGACAACGCAATGGGGATCATCCCTGCTCCTAGACTGAGACTGCTCTCTGCCGTGTCGGCTCTTGCTCGTCTTGTATTATTCGGTGTCGTAGGTGGAGGTTGGAGGTGTCCCGCCGATGACTTCTTTCCCGCTGTTGAGGGAAAGGGCCAGCCGGGTGTTCTCCTCCCTCCGTTGACGTCTTCAATTATAACGGTCTGTTCTTTTGCTTTTGGGAGGTGGGTCGGCGTGATTATTGTTGGGTTTTGGGGGAGTGGGGTGGTAGGCGCCCCGAGTCCCTACTGGGGGTTACCCGGTAGACCTCGCTGTCGAGAGCGGGGGCGGGTGGAGGGGGAGGTGGGAGTCGCTCCGGTGGTGCGGTAGGCACGGTAGGCTTTGGCGAGGTCGGAGGGGCGGTTGGGGAGGGTAGGGGAGTCGAGACGGTTGTTGCGGGGGCGGTATTCCCTTGTGTTGGAGCGGGGGATTTCGTCTTTGGTTTTGTATGGAAGGGTGGTGCTGCTGGCGGTGTTCCAGCTGTCGATTCTTTGACTTGCTGGGCGCCATTGGGACTTTTTCTCGTCGAGGTCGCGATCCCAGTCGCCGAAGCTGTCCCATTTGTTTTTGGGCTTGCGGCCGGTGGAATAATCTCTAGAGGGGTTGGAGATGATGGTGATGGGACGTTGGGTGAAGAAATCGGTGCCGGGGCGGTTGAGAGGGTCGGACGAATTTTCATTAAAGTCGTATTCCTGTCGTTGAAGCTTGCGCTCGCGCAGTTGGAGTAGGAGGGAGGAAAGCGTGCTGAGGATGAACAGGGCAGAAAGGACGATGAGGGAGATCCAGATGGCGAATACCCGGTAGCAGGCCTCTTTCCCGTTGGTGTTGGATGGGAATGTTGTTTGGCCGAATGAGGTATTGGGTGGCACGGTAATTGTGAAGGTGGTTGAAGGAGCGATGGCGGCGCATGACCTTTTGGTCACGGGCTGGGCCAGGAGTACTGTGACAGTTACAGCTGGAATAAGAAGGACGAAATCCAGAACTATAGTGGCGATATATGGGACGAATCGCCGACTGAAGCTCGTAATAGTGACTAGGGTGTAGAGTAGTGCTGTGCTGGTCTGGTCACCGTTGTCAGTCAAGTCTGAATAGATTAAGAGCCGAAGACCCTCGTAGACATACCAAAGCCACTAATGCCACAATTGTTGGCGGCAGCCCAAGTCCTGCTTTGTTGAAAGCAACTATGAAGTTGACCGTGAACCCTACAACAAGCCCCGAAGCAACTATCGACAGAATTCGCACAACGAGAAAGAAGTAACCGAGAAAGCCCTGAGGCCGTAGCGATCTGGTGTCCATGATGGCTTAGACTGTCTCATAAACCTTGGCATGCCCTGCCTGGACGATGCCATGCAATAAAAAAGTAGAGTCAAAGAATGTCTTTTCTCAACCTCAAGTAGAGAAAAAGAAAGGTGAACTCGCAACAAGATCGGATTCGAAAGCGTTGGACAAACCGCCGTCGGCCACCGGGTACATGTATCAGAGCCAGAGGCGATAGTTGAGGGATTCCAGGATCGACTACCCATAATCACAAAGAGCAACAGCAAGTCCAAATGAAGATATATTCTCTAAGCTTCCCCGGCCCAGTCATCCATGACACGGCCTCCTTGCAGCAGTTTCGCTGATCACACACCGCCCTTCAGATGTATTTACCACCAGACCATCATAGCGATTCCCTTTCTGGGAAAGATGTTAGTCGCTCGAGTGTCCAAACCGTTCGATTTGACAGTTGGAGAAGGTGGAAGGAAGGAATGATCGACTTGGTGTTGTATCGAGCCTGACTCCAAACCTCTGAAGTCGATCAGTTACAAGGCCCAGCCAGGCCACCGTCGGCGCTTGGGACGATTTTCCCAGTAGGGAAAATGGTGAGAACATGAGATGAAAAGAACCTGGGCCCCGAAGGATGCGGCCGGGAAACGTGGATCTGCGGGTGTAAGAATGCCAAGCCGGCCGCAAAACGGTGCCGGGGCCGGGAGGAAAAGGAACCGATGGTTGCGGACGGAGCTGGCAGTGAGTCATCCTCAAGTCTGGCTAAACCGAGGTAACTGTATGTTCCAGGACGAGTAACGGTCTTGAGGTCAATAATCGAGTAAGCAGCGGAATCTGTCAAGCTGAACTACACTACCTTAGGATAGGGTATCTGCTGGACTGGCTATTTTGAGTAAGCATTAAACACAACAAACACGTAGTAAACATGGTGCAGCTCAAGCACAGGCCGTCGGAGAGAAGGGACGGCGACATCGGTAAACTTCCGCATGCCGGATCAGCTCTCAGATGATGTTGTGTCGTAGAATGATTGCCGCTGCGGAACACCTCGATCTCCGGGCCGATTGCTCGGCCGGGTTGGACAGCTGCCCCTGGCCAGCCCCTTTTGAGACCACATTCCCAGACAGCCACTCTTGGCAATATTGCTGAAACAACCACTCAGATGCATGCATAACGCTGAAGATCAATTTTGGCACGCCATACTCCAAAAGCCATCTGCATGACTATCTTATCAAGACAGACCTTCTAGCCTCCCCAACTATCCCCGTGAAAAGTAGCGCAAATAATATCAGAAATTAGCATTGAAAGGACACAATCAGATCTCAGCCCAGCAAATCATCAAGACCATTGCCAAGCGGCTTGCTACCCGCAGGCTTAGCAGCAGCGGGAGAAGAAGAGCTGGCCGCACCCCAGATGCCAGCACTGCTCTTCTCCTTCGCTAGCTGTCCAATTGTCGGCCCAGGCCCAGTGGGGGTACTCTTCTTGAGGCCTACACTGGCTTGAGACCAGAGAGAACCGAAAGCGTCACCTCCAGCTGCGGGTGCTGCTGGCTTGGAACCACTGGTGACTGGCTTCAGCCCGCCGAAGGAGGCAGGGGCAGCAGCAGGCTTTGCCACAGGTGCTGCTGGAGATGCCGCCTGAACCGAAGAAAAGTAGTTTGGTGTAGAGGCTTGGAACCCTGCTGGCTTCGCAGCAGGAGAGAGAGTAGTCGCAGACAAAGGCGTTGAGAAGGCCGAAAAGTTGCCGGAGGGCGTGGCGGTTGAGCTTGGCGGCGGAGAGATAGACGACATGGCGACCATGCCGCTCAGGTTGGCTTGTTGGGGGGCAGAGACAGGCTGGGGAGCGGCGAACTGGGTCGCAGGGGCAGCAGCAACAGCCGGCGCTGCCGATTGGAAATCGTCGAAGTCGTCGTCGTCATCATTGGTGAGTGCAGCGCTCGAAGCAGCCGGGGCATCAGTCAGGGGAGGGGTAGAGGTTGTCGCGGGCTCGTCGAACGAAAACAGATCGACCTCAGGGGCCTTCTTCTTCGCCGGTTCAGTGGTCTTCTTAACACCGGCTCTTTCGGATGTGTCTCGCTTCACCCTTGGGGCGCTTGAAGACGAAGCACCACCAGCTGGCCGTTCATCCCCATCAAACTCGTCGTACTCCTCAAACTGTTCCCCGCGTGCTTGTGTTCGACCAAAATCGCTGCTTTGTTGTCCGCCGAAGCCTCCACCGTCCCCGTACACACCTCCAGCATCACCACCATAAGTCGAGCTGCTGCCACCACCGCCGCCCCCACTGTACCCGTCCGAGTTGCTCCCAAAGCCACCATATCGACTGCTGCTTCCCATTCCAGAGCCACCCTGCATGCCTACAAACTTGCCCTTGATCGCACGTGCCTTCTTGCGCTCCGACCGGATCCTGTCAACATCCCCAAGAAGCTCAGCAAGTTCCTTGGCGCGATGGCGAACGTTAACACCCTGGTCTTTGCCGTTTTGGTCAATGAAGTGAAACTGGCGAAGCATTTTGAGCAGAGTAATGTGGGAGCGAGCATCGTCGATAACGCGTTCGGAGCCGTGCTTGATCAGGTACTCGAGAAGTTGGAGGGCCTTGTAGATCTGGCGCCACTCTTCGGCGGACTTTTCGGTAAAGCGGCGATAGATCATGGGCATAATCTCGTTCAGGGTTTGGCTGGAAGAGAATGGTGGTTAGACTGTGTCTTGGTATGTGTGGCCGGTAACACCACGTACTAGTTGAAAGTGCCATCCGCAATCTCCTGCATCTGAGTCGAGGATGCGCCCCAAGGTTCGTTATTTGTGGCCTCGCGCACCTTGGCCTCCATCTCGGTGAAGTTCATGACGGCTGTACACGGAAGCATGGTTTAGCACATGTGGGAAGACCTGGAGTCGGGCGCATCAAGCCTACCATTCTGGACCTTGCGCACACCGGCCTTGACATCGTAAAGTGTCAGGTTGGTGACGGTCTGCCGGAGACTGTTCAAATCCATTGTGAAGAAGAATCCTGACGATTATCCAGCGTGAAATTGTTGAGTATCAGAGCGACAAGGCAATGCTGTAGCTTTGCTTGTGTCGGCGGACTTGGGAGTCGACCTGCTGCTGTCGCATTCGATGTTGAACCGATATTGTGGAGTTAAGAGGACGGACACCTTGCGGTTTCCCAACCGCCGCAGCCAAGACACTTTGGGCTCTGGGGTCTGGGCGCGGCACTGCTGAAAGTGGGTCTGAATAGCCATTGCAGCCTGAGGCATCAAGGCATCAAATGGACCTGCCCAGGTGGGTCTGTGCTCGGAAAAGCTTCAGAGAGTTTGCGCCAGTGGGAGAGCTCAAGAGAGAGAAATTTTGGAGTGCTTTCCATCATCATCGAACTTGTCCATTCCGTCACCGTCGTGCTTCAATTCGTCCAGCTCTCAGCTGTGTATTATTCTTCTCTTTCTGTATTATAAGTAAAGTTCCACTCGGAAGGTGCGTGCCTCTCTTTCCTTTTTTCAGTCAGTCATTCCCGCCTACTATTTGGAGCTCGGCTGGGAGCTCAAGGATACAGCTTCCTCAACCTGGTGAGGTTGGGAGCTAGCCCCTGGACGGGTTACCATGCTCAAAGGGGGGAAGCAAACACAAGGTGTTTGGGTGATGATTGCACCTGCTTTCCATGTTTCCCAGTCTTAGGTTGTTGGCTTCACTTGTTGTTTCCGACATCCCACTTCCTCGAAAAAAGAAGATGGCACCATGTCAGCCGGCAGTGATGCTCTCACTGCTGCCAGTGGAGATGGGCTGAGCCAACTTCGATTCCAGTCCGTGGGACAAACAACGTGCTGCGCCAATTGGCGTGCAGCTCGGCCCGCATCTGGTTCCCCCTCCTCTGCAGGCTGGGGCAATTCGCGATCGCCACGGATCAGAGGGAGGGAGGATGGGCATGAGGGGGTCAGCAAAGAAGTGGGATGTCCAGTCTCGTTGTTCAGTGTCCCCTTCCCGGCAGCCAAGCGGCTGCTTGAAGACAAGAATTGTCTCCCCCGTGTCTCTCTGTCACTGCCCTCATCGTCTCAACTCTTCCTCCTCTTGCTACAAAAAGGCCATGGCTACATACAGAGTTGGCTTCGTCCTGAACGTTCACCGTCATCTTGTTCGCCTCAAACCATGCCCCACGCCAGCGTTGCTGGGGGCGTACTGTACTAGATGCTGAGCAACCAGACGGTGAGGGGCGGCAAAGCATGACCCCCGCCATGGTTGGACAATACCACAACAGGCCCCTCCTTTCTCACGTGAAGTATACGTACCTGTTCAGGGATAGCTTTTTTATTGGTCCATGTGGAGCACTAACCCAGTTTCTCGCCAGCCCGGAAAATGTTTCGACCCCTCCTACCCCGCGGTTGCTCTGCTCTTCCTCGACCTTCCTCCCTCTTTCACCAACTTCCCACTGCTCCATTCTCTTCCACCTTTTCGTCCTCTATCCAATCCAACATCAGAAACTCCGTTAGAGCTTTCTCAGTCTCATCAATCAACATGGCCCCTCAAGTGTAAGTCGCTGTCTTCCAGGGTCAACAGAGACAATGCCCCACCATCAGCTTGTGGAAGCTTTGCTAACGGTCCTACAATAGCTTCTTCAAGGTCTCTTGGTCTGGTCCCACCGGCTTCGATAGCCAGGGCCGCCCCAACAACGAGATCGCCGGTATGTAGCCATCCTTCCATCTATTCCATTGACGTTGTTCAACGCCTGGCAATCCCATGATACTGACAATCGCGTAGAGCAGGAGGGTACTATCAAGTTCAACCTCTACGACGATGTTGTCCCCATCACCACCCGTAACTTCCGTGAGCTCTGCACTGGCCAGAACGGCTTCGGCTACAAGGGCTCTTCCTTCCACCGCATCATCCCCGACTTCATGCTCCAGGGTGGTGACTTCACCCGTGGCAACGGTACCGGTGGCAAGTCCATCTACGGCGAGAAGTTTGCCGACGAGAACTTCCAGATCAAGCACACCCGCCCTGGTCTCCTCTCCATGGCCAACGCCGGCCCCAACACGTGAGTTATTAATCTGTCCGGAATTTCCCCGTTCAATTGATCACAAAGCTGACCTGAACCCTCACAGCAACGGCTCCCAGTTCTTCATCACCACCGTGAAGACCTCTTGGCTCGATGGCCGCCACGTCGTCTTCGGCGAGGTTGCCGATGATGACTCCATGCACGTCGTCAAGCTCCTTGAGGCTACCGGCTCCGGCTCCGGTGCCATCAAGCCTGGTCTCAAGAAGCCCACCATTGAGGACTCCGGTGAGATCAACTAAATCAACTAAATTGATGGTTGATTTCGGAACGAAGGAGGGTGGTTCAGTGATATGGTTAGCATATTGTCTTGTGGACCTCTAGGAGGTTGGGGAATATAAAAGCACCACTTCATTGGCCTTCACATTGTTTCATCCATGAATTATCTTGCTGCCAGGTCGTGACCAACATTTGGGACTATGTTTGAATGAAGTAGATGGTAAACAATGCTTCCGCCCCCTGACAACGGAATTGCCAAGAATCGTGAGATGACAAAGTCGCGCTCTTCCGCCAGGCGGATCAGTTATATTTACAACTCAGTACCCGATTACTAAACTACACTAACTCCATGCTTAAAAAAAATATTTACCAGAATTAGTTTGCCCATGCATAGCTGACCTCATAGTGGAGCCGTTTCGTTGGCAGTAGCAACAGCAGGCTCTTTCAAGCCCAACCACTCCTGAAAGTAAACACACGTGCTCGGCGCAACCGGTCCACCCTCCTGGCACAGTTCAAACACCGGGCATTTACCGCACGGTGCCTCAGTCACTGCGCTGCTCAGCGGCGGAGGGCCTAACACGATATCCCCCAATTCTGGATGCGATTCTCGGTCCTGCTGCCGCTTAGCATACGACACCGTGTCCTGCTTTGTTGGCCGCACCACCCTGTACCCCTTACGATTGTGGACTTGGATCGGCTCAATCAGGCCGTCAAATACCAGCACGTCGACCAACGCCTGGATGTCCGCAACACCGAGCATAGCAGTGCTGACCTTTTGGTTGTGGATAAACTCTGTGATATCGTTGACGGTAGGGTATTTCTTATACCCGGCCGGCATGGGGAGGTACATTGGCTTGCCCTTTGGCGGTGGAGGGGCAGCCTTTGTTGCTGGAGCAGGGGCGGGTGTCGCGTCGTCGTTGGAGATGTCAGTCGCTGTTCTCTTGACACCTCTGGCATCCCCGGTAACTACGCCCTTCTTTGGTTGTCTTTGAGGGAGGACCGTTCCCCTGGAAAAGTATGCGCTGCGGGTCTTGATGTACTCGAAAATGATACCTTCGATGACTTTAATAAAGGCTTCGTCTAGCTCACCGTCTGTGAACCAAGGACCGCCGGTTGCGCGCTCGGAGGGTTTGAGGTCGGCTCTAATGTACATCTTCCGGTTGGGCATCTCGACGTTGGTCATGGACGAGATGAACCCTTTGGACTCGAGGAACTTGATGCAGGCCTTGAGGGTGGCATCTTGGATGTTGATTCGGAGCTTGATGTGGCGGATCCAGACACCGTCTTGGCCGGCTTGGTCGATTTCGCCGTATACGAGCCTGGTCGGTTCGTCTGGAAGGGAGGTATACCTGGAGAACGAGGAGCAGTTAGCATTCAGGGTGGGCTAGTGAGAAGATCTGAGAGAAGGAAACGTACTTCTTGGCATCCTCTCTGCTTCGCCATTTCCAACCCAGTTCTCCACCCGGTAAATGAACACCAATGAGGAGCTTTTCATTGGTGAGCATCTGAATGACATCGACAAGTATCCTGACGTCGTTGTTGGGGATGACGCCCAAACCCTTGAGGTCGGCCTGGCTGAAGACACGGGTTTCACTGCCATGTTCCCTGATAGTATCGTACAGCTCATCTTTGAAGATCTGGAGCTTGGCCTGGTCGGCCTCGGAATTTGGCGCCGCCATTGAGGCGGGAGGATGCGGCAGACGGGCGCGCTCAATCAGGGTTCAGTGGTGGTGGTCGCGTGGAATGAAGAGATGGCTTTTGCGGACCTTGTTCAAACAGGCGATGTTGAGATATTGGTAACAAACTATTGGTGACTGTTTGTGTCTCGATCTCGAATCAATGACAAATAAATCGAGTGATATGGGGAGGTCTTCGAGGCTCGTTGCTAGTTTTGCTTCCAAAATAGTGATTCAGTGATGGCGTGGGCAGCCGGAGCTCTGTTGCGAAAGTGGTTGGCGACGAGAAACCGCAAAAAGTTGCCCCGCCATGCAGCCTTGTCAAGTGTCTGACCAATCGCGTGTGGATGATCACGCTTATCAGTGAATCCACTCGCCGGGAAGAGTGGGTATCCTCTTATCAGTCTGTCTTTTCACATGCAGCCTTGCAAGGGTGGGGGTGGTCCACCAACTCAACACCAGGGAAACATCACGAACATGACGGTCGATCCAAACCATCACCACCTACACCCTGAATTCTTTTTATCTAATGACACATAAGTACTATCATGTTAAAATTACTGACTGGTTGATAAATATCTTTGAACCTTAAGGACTGCTTCATTCCCTCGAAATACCTAACATCGTCCTTCCGGTCATAAATTACAAGATAATCTTCCATTTTGCCTGGGCATGTCTGATTCTAACGCCAAATGGGATTAAAACCGCCATTCCTATTGCAATAATAGCAACATAGATTCCTGCTTGAGTTCCAAAGCATTCGACATAGCCAACCTCTTCAACCCATGGCACGATTCCGTAAAGAAATCCAAAAGCAACAATATTTTTGCTCCCTATACCATGGTTAGCCTCTTTCATCCGAATGCAAGTGAGAGACGTACCGTTGACAAGCATCAAAGCATCCGAGTTAACTGGCAGTAGACAATCTGACACATATGCCATCGTAATCGTGGGGACTGCTGTGAGCGCAAATGACACCATTCCGTAGCCGAAGAATAATGAGGTCCAATGGAGTGTTCTCTCGACTCCATACCCGAACAAGACGCAACCGGCTCCGGTAATCAGCAGCGGAAGTATGCAGAGATACAACCTATTCTCCGGTTCAAACACCCCATTGTTCTTCCTGCTTCTCCAGTCGCAAAACTCATCGACAAGCCAACCGCAGCATAACGGGAGAAGGTAAG